AGGGATTGCGTTAAATCTGACGTATTTTATACAATTACTTTGGGGAAAAATGCGGCGTTCTCCGGTTTTAGAAAATCGTTCTGTAAGCTATTCGTCGACGGTTCGATGCTCAATTCTCTCTCGCTGGGAAAGACGATGTCATTGTTACTCCTTACTATGTCGAATCTTGGATATTCTCTCTTCTCGTGATATTCTCGATACTTCGTAGGTGGAAACTGAACTGTATTCCGCGCTGGACCCTTTCGAACGTGTCCCTTCCAATTCCCAGCGACTATCCTTTCCCTCAGCTCGACCTTCGAATAATCGTTGACTGAACAAAATGCCAGAGATTAACAAATTTATTCAATCGTCCTGTTATTATCGAACATAAAAATATATTTGTTCATTGAGAATACATTTGTACGATAACAACAGAATCAGAAGAATGCCCGATCTCTTTTATCTCAATTATCTCACCTCGTTGACCAGGAACTCTATCAGACATCCTGTATTTTCCGCCCCGAATCCTGTTGAAAAGGTTGAAGAAGCCTCCGTTATAATTGTTCAGATAATAAATCAAGCCGTTCGCGTCGCTCGGACACTTTGGGAACGCCTCGTAGCACGCCACGGAATTTCCTCGGTTGCCATAACCGAGGATCATCGCTCTGCCGAAGTTCAGCAACGGGGACGTTCCGGCGACGTCGATTTTCGTCAGCCAGCTGAAAGGGCAAGAAGAAAAAATCCATCGTGAGACACAGACTCTCTTTCTCTCTCTTTCTCTCTGTTCCATTTGAGAGACTTGATTTTGCGGCCACGTACTCCGTGAAAACGTTCCGACCGAGGAACTCGAAGAAGCCGGATCCCTGTTTGCCTAACGATCGTCCAGGAAGTTTTCCGCTCGCCATCTCGCAGAGTATCCTCGGTACACACTTGTAGTCGTCGTGGCTGGATATCGTGGACAGCGCGTCGAGGAGATTCAGCCGGAATCCAGGGGAAGGGCCGGCCGTTCCGCTCGGATAATTCGATTGCTGGTAGTCGGAAGTCGAGTACGCCGGATGGGAGCTGCTCTGATGCGGCTGTAAGCAGAAAAGTTGCGGAATTTTCTGCGGGGGAACGTGGACGTCGTGGGGATCATTGATTGCTTCCTTTTCTCTCGTGTCAAATATATCGGGCAGAATGGGACTTCGTGCAATGGTATTTAAGTGTTATGGAACTAGCTGTGAGTGTAATATCTTTGGAATTTCTGATATTAGAAGATTATCACGATTTTGAGGAAGTTAATTGATGATGAATAATTCCTTTAAAATATCATTTTGATTAAGTTACAGTGTTCACGAGGGGACTCGTGATAGTGGTAATAATTTTTTTCATTAATTTCTTAAATATGACATTTTTGTGATAGTAATACATTATTTTATGAAAATGATTTAGAAGGAGAAAGAGAGAGAGAGAGAGAGAGAGAGAGAGA